GAATAGTGTAGCATGCTACACTATTCATACTAGTTGCATTGTTCATGCGCAACAAGTAACAATTACTTGTTTTTTTTTTAAACTATATTTTTTTTTTACCAAACAGATTGCATCAACATTTTAAACAAAACACAGATACAATTTTTTAAACAAACTCTGCCTAAAAAATAATGTTTCATTATAGCAATTGTAACATTGTTTCATTCTCCTGTTACGTTAAAAATTAGTCTGAAAATTTACATGTTTTTATTAGTGTATATAATTTTTATTATAATTTATTACATTTAAGCATTAATTTTTTAATTCACAATTATATATTTTTTACGTGATGTTAAAAAATATGTTAATAACAATACACATTAATTTTTTTTGTTTAAAAATATATTAAAATAATATTTTTTAAAAAATAATTTTGAAAAAAATTAAATTTCATGTAACGCTATTTAAAATGTAATTCTAAATAGAGGCTGATTGTAACTTTATTGCCTTCTTTCTCTCCTTAAAGATTTAAATATTCTTCTAATTTAATCAAATTCCCTTCCAGAATTGCTATTTCTTGCCGGCTGAATAGGTCTCACTATTTATTTTCCGACTGTTAACTTATCCAATTATTTTTTTTCTTTACCATAGTAAATTTCCCACATCCATGTCAACGTCAGTATATTTATATATATATTCTACCATAAAAAATCCATAAAATAAATATTTTTAAGGTTAATTCTGCTCAAAAGATCCGGTGATTATATAGCCACCAATCACGGGGACCGAACTGGGACTTCAAGGTGGGACCCATGTGAAGCCACACAAGACACAGAATGGATGTTGTGGACCCCACTTGGTTAAAAAGAAAAGATTAAAAAAATAAAAACTCTCCTTCTTCAATTGCAGTTACAGATACTCCGCATAGCAAGTACCTGTAAACCCAGACTGTAAACCACTACAGACCGACACGTGGCTTGCATGCAAAGATTCACAAATAGATACGAGGCACACAATGAGCTAACTATAAGACAGAAAACAATACGCGTTTGAGATGCACTACAAGATCAGAACCGATAATCTTGTACACGTGGCCATAATTAATTGCATGTTTGGCATCAATTCCCAAGCTCGTGCATAACTGCAGCTCTTTTCCAGCGCTCAACAACAAAAGAAGTCGATTCAACGGTCAATGATTAATCACACAGAACTCATTTTTTGTTTAAGTATTCACACCATAGATTTGCCACTACAGAGCACATAGGACAGAAGAGAAGAGGAGAGACAGAAATGTTTCTTAAAAAAGCTAGGCCACATAGATTTTTCCGAAACACTAAGGCTATTATTATTTTTATTTTTATTATTATTATTAATATAGAGGTTCCAATTCGATAAGTGATGCAAGACAGCACGGATTTATTTATTTATCAGAATGGAAACAGCATGGATATCATAGACATATACTCTAAATATGCAAAAAAAAAAAAAGAATTATTTTATAAAAAAAGTCATGTTGAATTAAAAATATATTATTGTTTATGGAAATAATAAAATAAATAAAAACCAGTTGACATATCGAAATGGGCTGAAGGGTGGCATTGACATTAGACTTTGAATTCAGTTTTCGAAATCTAAACTAATTCGCGCATTTTTATCCGAACTGACAGTTTCTAGAATAATATATTAGTAGATTTTCTAAAATCTTAAACAAGTTTTATCAAGCAAGAGAGAGTTTTAATGTTTTTTCCATTTTTTTTAAAGGGTTTTCCAGTGGGTGTATTTATTTATGTGTGTGCGAGAGTTGATTTGAACTAAAGACAAAGGCGCCTTTAAAAGCAATATCCTCTCTGTCATCTGGGGTTTGTTTTTTTTTTTTTTCTTGTTTTTGTTTTTTTTGTTTCAAGAATGGTGTCGTTTTTGTGGAGAATGGAGAGCTAGAGGAGAAGATAAAAATAGCTAAAAAAACAGAGAAGACAGGCAGGCAGAGAAACAGAGACAGAGAGAGAGAGAGAAAGCGAGACATAGTGATCTATCAACCATGGCCACGGAGAAGGAGGGAAGATTGTTTGAGGCTTTGGTTTGGTTTGTTTGACTTTGTTTCTTCCATCCTTTATACACACAGAAGCTTGTTAAATCTTGGTGGGTATGTTAGATCTTTGCTTCTTCTTCTTTCTTTAAGAGAACTATGGTTACGATTCTTTTTTGTTTAAATGGTGAATTACAGTTCAAGTTTTTGAGTCTTTGGATGTGGGTCTTATTCAAAATGTTCAAAAATTGTGTTTTTAGTGTTAAGAAATGGCTTCAAAGGCTGGTTTTGTGGGGTTTTTTTCCCGCTTCTACTTTTAGAGGGTGGGTTATTATTTCAATTTGGAAGTGCTGTTGTGTTTTTATATTTAAAATGTGCTAAAACTTTGGTTCTACTGGCTTCGTGATGATTTGCAGAACTTTAATTCTGGTTTATTTCATGGTTCATGTACTCTTTCATGCTCTCTCTCTCTCTTTTCTTTTTCTTTTTTTTTCTTTTTTTTTTGCTTCTGACTATTGTGGTATTGAGAAAAAATTGGTTAGTTAGATTCACTGAAAAGAGAATTTGATATCTTTTTCATATTTATTTTATGGTTCCTGTAACTCTCTTGAAGAAATTGGTAAGGTGCAGAAGAAAAATTGATTCGGCGTTGGGTTTTATTAAAATAAAGATTTTGACTTCTCTGTTCTTGTTTTGGACGGAGAGTTCAGGTTTTTTCTTTTTCTGGGAAAAAAGAAGAAGGGAAAGGGGATTGAGGTTTTGGTCATAGTTTCTCCTCAATGATGTTTCTAATTGGGTCCTTATTTACCATTTTCTGCTCTGATTTTTCAGATATCTTTTGTAGAGGTAAAGAAATTTATTGTCTTGGTGTTTGTTGGGAGGTCAACTTTTATGCAATGTTAAATAATTGCCTTTTATGCTAAATAAAGAAACAAAACGTTGGTATTTCTTGCTGATGTTGCTATTCTTGAAGTGTTAAGTTTTCCAGTTTTTTCCACTTCTTGTGATTTCCCCCTCTCATTTTGCTGTCAATTTTTCATTTCTTTAACATGTATCTTGGATCCCCTTGCCTCTTTTTTTCTGGCAATATCTTACAGGATGGTTTTTTGGTTGTCATAAATGCTAAGCCTCTCTACTTACAAAGTAAATACAAGGGAACAAATGGAAAATGATTATGCCACAACCAATGCTTTTCCTCATGTGATTTTTCTTTTCTCTAGATTATCCATAACAGGGTTAAAGTGTTGGCAGACGATGTATTTATTAATATTCAGAGTCTTTATCTTCTAGGTGTGTTGAATCTGCATTTACTTGTATTTGCAATTTGTGAAAGAAATTTATTTGTCCTAGTCCACACAATAATTTGGAATTTTAACGGTATTTCTGTGTATTTTCTACTGACCCTGTCACTTATGTCGTTACCGTGTTGCTTTTGTAGAGTTGAGAATTTGAAATGGATTTTTCAGAGTCCACAAAGGTTGTGTACAATAGAATCCAGGAGATAGAGCCTGAATTCGTCGGCAAGATCATTGGCTATATTCTGTTGCAAAACCATGGTGAGAGAGAAATGATTCGGCTAGCCTTTAGCCCTGATAATTTGATTTACGCTACGATTAGCAAAGCCAAATCTGATCTGGGGCTAAACAAAACACCAGTTGCGAATCCAATTTCATCTTCTCAGGTGAACCCGGCACCTGTTTCAGATGTTCATCTGCAATTTATTCCTAACACAGCAGTTTCATCACACCCAATTTCCTCTCCAATAAAGATTAGGACTGGAGGTTCTTTCTGGGATGCCCAAGTGACCGGTGACCAGCAACAAGCACACAACCTGGATTTTGGTCCACCAGGGTACCCAGAAATGCTCCTTGAGGATTACCGGCTTCAAAACCAAATGCAGTTCTTGACTTCGGATGATCAGTTAGAGTTTGGTAATTCTGACTTTTCTAGCAGTTACTTTTACCCAGAGCCTGCGTTAGGTCCTAGGACTAGTAGAAGGTCTCCAAGCTTGCCTGAATTTCCTGTTAAGATTTGCCATTACTTCATTAAGGGGTTCTGCAAACATGGAAACAACTGTAGGTATTTCCATGGCCATCCCATGCCAGAAAGCTTTTCTCAGATTCTCAGTCTAAATTCGAATGAGATTGCAAACGAAGAACATTTTATCTCACCTGGCTCTCTTGAAAAGCTTGAATTGGAGCTCACTGAGCTTTTGAAATCAAGAAGAGGGGTGCCGGTTTCAATTGCCTCTTTGCCAATGATGTATTATGAGAAGTATGGGAGGATGCTGCAGGCCGAGGGGTATCTTACGGAGAGCCAGAGACATGGTAAGGCAGGTTATAGTCTAACAAAGCTCCTAGCTCGATTGAAGAATAGCATTCGTCTCATTGACAGGTGCAATATGTGCATATTCATAGTGTTTATAATTCCTATTAAATTTTATCTGAGTTCACAGATCTGTCTAACTTCTCTTGCTTTTGTTTTTTTTGTTTTTTGTTTGGGACAGGCCTCATGGGCAGCATTCTGTGATTTTGACAGAAGATGTTCCAAAGTACTTGGAGTATGCTGGTGAGAGGAATGATCCCGGCGGAATTGTTGCTGGTTCTAGGCAGATCTATCTTACCTTTCCAGCTGAAAGTACCTTTACAGAGCAAGATGTTTCCAACTATTTCAGGTTGGTATATCTGAATGTTTCTTTATGGAGATCCTCAATTTTATTTTTTTTCTGTGTTTTGTTTGTTAAAGATGTTCCATTTTGTTTTGGTCCTTTATTTCTATAGCAAATTTGGGCCCGTTCAAGATGTTAGGATTCCATGCCAGCAGAAGAGGATGTTTGGATTTGTAACTTTTGTTTTTGCGGAGACTGTAAAGCAGATACTATCAAAGGGGAATCCTCATCATGTTTGTGGGGCTCGTGTTCTTGTGAAACCTTACAGGGAAAAATCCAGGCTTGTTGACAGGTAAATACTTGAAGGATAACCTGCCCTATTATATGCTATAGAATGATGCTTCGCCACTCCCTCTTATCATTCCTTTAATATTCCTTTTGGTTTAAAATATTATCTTGTCTTTGAGTTCTGATGAGTAATTATTGTTGGATGGTTTGCTGACCCAAATGGCAAAAGAGATTCTGAATGAATCGTTGTGACTGATTTAAACCTTATCTCTTCTTATTATGTAGTTATTGTCCTGTCATTTTCAGCTATCTTGTCCATAATTAGCCACTGTAATGTACGCCAACACTATCATTTGACAGGTGGTGCCAGTGGTTTTTATCTTAAAGAAGTCTACAATATTGTACATTTTCCTTCATGGTTTGCTTTTGTGGATTTGATAATTTGCTCGTTTTAAAATATAATTTTTTTCCTTGCCCACTTTCGATAGATTGGTGAACCTGCATATGAGGTGGTAGGCCCATTGTTTTGTATAATCCATCAATCATGAAGTTTGCCTAGTTGGATCCCTATCCTATCTATGAAATATTAGATATTTTCAACCTGTATGTGTTCCTGTTGTTACAAGCAAAATGATTCCAGTTTGAATGGGTCACCTCGTTCGTTTTTTGATATTTTGACATTCTTGCTGCTCTTGCCAATCATCAAAATTAAATATAACTAAAGAATTACAAAATGATTCCAGCTGGCTTCTGTTCCTTTATTGACAAAGCATACTACTTGTTTTCTGTACTTATGATCGTGCTTCTTAATTTAAGGAAAGCATGGATCTATTGAAAATAATTACCCTTGCTTCGTTTCCACAAGTTCATATGTACTGCTTTCCATTTTAAAATGCGAGAAAATTTTTTGTGCAGCTTGTAAGATGTTGATAAAATTAAATTGGAACTTCTGTTCATTTTTTTTAATGATCAAATTATCTGCTATATATTTTTTTCTAGTAGAGGTGATAATTTGAAGAGGAATTTTTGTGCAGGAAGTACGCTGAGAAAATACAGCACCCTTTCTTTTACAGCCAACACTTCATAGATGGAGATTCTGAGCTTCACTCTGGTGAGTAGAATCCTTATATGATTTTTCTTGCTAATCCCTCGCTTTGGTGTTGTATTTATGTAGCTAACATCCTCTCTTGTTAATTTTTAAGGGCCGAGAGTTTGTGATAATTCAAGATTATTCAGGAAGCAGCTCATGGAGGAACATGAGCAGGCACTTGAACTTGAGAGAAGGCGTCTCTCTGAGTTTCAGCTTGCGCCTAAACCCCTGGCTCGTCACGCATATCACGGCCACCCTATGGATGAGTTCAAGCTCGCAGAAGGTCTATAATACACTGGCTTCTTTGTTTTCATTGTTATCTGGGTGGCTTGATGACATTGTAAGCCTTAAACCTATTCTGGTTTACCAATTTAATGGTTTAGCCTGTGCAGAACAAGCAGATCAGTTCCCATCTGCTGAGCATTTCAATTACTGGTTTGACGTTTTGAATAATGGTTCCACCAGCGAGGAAAAGCATAGGCATACAAGGACCAATTGCAGTGAGCAGGATAGGTACAAGTGGATATGCATTTTGTTCCATATAATATTAATTAATGATCGGGAAAAAATTAGAAACTTTGTATAAATACAGCAGTGACTAGCTTTCTCAGGGAAGTACTGGATCATCTTAGTTTTATACACAAAAGAATTGCTGCGCTATCTCTCTGATATGGGTTTTTTGTTGCAGCAACCAAGGAGTTAATCTTCCCGAGAGCCCGTTTGCATCTGCAATAGGGAAAGGCATTTCAACAGTTATATAGAGTAAGGCACAGAAGAATTATAGAGTTAGAGGACTGAATTCCAAGACCATTTTCGAGGGTTTCAGACTGCAGGGCCTCCTTTTCTTTAAAAAAAAAAAAAATACCTAAACTTAATCGGTGAGCGTCATAGGTCAGATACCAACTGAAGGAGAGAAGCTAGAACTGCTCTCCATGTTACCTGGTGGAGATTGCAAAGACGACAGATACATAAAGTTAATATGTTACAGGTTTCCGAGCCTTTTTTTTTCTTTTTTTCTTTTTAAAAAAATTGATGTAATCACAGAAAGCAATCTAGAAAGCTTACTGTTCTCTAGAAGGGAAGGAAAATGTAAGATAGTCTGCTTTAGATGGCTAAGGAAGTAGAAAAATGTGCAGGGTTCACAGGGAGAGCAAGAAAGCTGTAGAGCAGCTTGCTGCCAAGAATAGTAAGGAATGCTATTAAGTCTAATTTTTACAAAGCTAGTAGTTTTATCCTTTACATACTCGCGATCTTCATCTGACCCCTTCTACACTGTAAAGCTACCACGCTGCTGCTATCTTTGTCCAGTTCCCATGATTATTGTCGTAACAAGAAAACTGGGTAATTTGGTGGCTATGTTTTTTCAGCCCAAAGAGAGCCCTGGCCGGCGGAAACAACGATGCATGATGATTGCGATCGGAGTTTCTCGTGGCTTCTTTGCATCATTGTGTTCTTCTTCGGTTTATCTGCCGCTTGTAAAAGAAATCCCACAACATTTTTAATTAAATCTAGTGGTTAATATACAATAATTATAGCAATCTAGCTTCCTGGCTGCCAATGAGAACATTGACTTTTTCGAAAAAATAAAATAGAAAGGAGGTCACAGACTCACGATTGCATGTTCTTAAAGCGACCTCTGATGTGGGTGTTTATGAATGTGATAAGGAAGTGTGGGTCCTGATTTTGATTTTATAGAAGATTTGTGGGACCTGGTCGGGCTCCACTGTTCCACAAGGTACTGAAATGTATCTTGAAATGTTAAATGGAAACTTGTAAAGTACAGCTAGGTCTGATAAGTATCATTTTGGGGTCATCCTCTAGTCCTTGGAGAGAGAGCGACGAGAGCAAAACGTGGTGTGACGTGCATCCTTGACTTTCTTGTGGCAAACTCCATAATTAGCACAACAATTTCAGGAGGAAGCTTTACAAGTACGATGACTTTCTACACATTCTGCTGCTATACAGCTTTAGATTGCCTGACCACTGACAAGTCTGATTCAAGTGTCTCTGCATCATAAACTTAATGATATTCAATAAGTTAGATTAGGGACCGAAAAGAAATTTTAATTTGGTTTGATTTTGAGAATTTTGATCAATTAAAGTGTGTTTTATGATTGGTAATTAGGTTTATATATAATTAATGGTTTTTTTATATTTTTTTTGTAAAAAATAATAATTAAAGTTTGTGTTTTTAGGATGCAAACACTTAGATCTTGATTTTCAATCCATCTAGGCTAATTGTCATGGTAAAAAAATATTGTAGGAAGATGATATTATGCTTGTTATCTGAAAAAAAAAAAACCCTCAAGTATATAAACCTAATTTTTTAGTTCCAAGCTTGCTAGACTTTTTAATTTTTCATATAAAAATAAAATAGTTTTATCAAAGCATTTCTACAAGCATATTCTTTACCTTCTTAGCATTGCCTAACGAACTACACTATTTGCCTTAAAACCACCCTTGGCTGTTGCTACAAACCTAAATGTAACTAAGATTCTATTATATGGTTTCCTTTATATTTCTATTTTTTCAATATCCCATAGGTAGATTTTAAACTACATGGGTTATGTTTAAGGTGACCATCCTATAATAGGAACCACACTTTAGTGTCGAACACAACTAACAATACTGAATTCTTTAAGCAAACTTCATCTATCCAATCCAATTTCTAAACTTAAAAATTTAGTAGAAAAATATTTAATATCCATTCAACAACTAATTAGAAATTTTGGTATATAGTAAATACCTTTGAAATTGTTGCCTAGCATTTCTTTCTCGCAAAAACCCCAAATGGCAGAGAAAAAATGGTAAAGCGATGGGGTTTGTTTAGAGGCCTTGATCGTTGCCTTTTATCTGGCAACATCAAAACCTTAGTGATGATATTCTAAAATATCCAACTAGCTTAGAAACAAGATTTTTATATTGAATAATTAGTTAATTTTTTAGTTCTAACAATTTAATCCATTATCTCTAGTTAAGGGCTAGTAGTTGGCGCACAATGCTTGTTAAGTCAAAATGGATGATAGTTTATACTTGTAAAATGTTTTTTTTAATAGATATTGAGATTTTAGATACTTAAGTAAATTTCTTTGCAAAGAAAAAAAAAAGTGTAATAATATTTGTTGCTACCTAATTTTTTATCTTTATGTTTTTGTTTTTTTTTTCAAAAACCTAGAAAATAGAAAAAAACAACAAAAACCTAAAAAAACATGTTTTTGATGTATTTGCATCATTTTAAGCATCTTTTTTCTAAAAAAAATAAAATAAAAAAAAATCTATTTTCAATGTTTTTTGAATTAATGTTGATGTTGCCCTTTTTTTAAGAAAACAATTCAAAATAAAAAAATCAAATTATAATAAATAGGTAAAGGAACCATAACTGAAAAGGAAAAAAAATGAGGGACTAAAGAAAAATTAGCTTACTTAGAAACCAAGCAATTGAGGGGAAGAAAATAAATTTTTATATATAAATAGGTGGTTATACACACATAAAAGAGAGATAATATTTAAAAGAGTATAAAAAAACTAACAAAAAGATACCAAGAAAAGAACTCTATCTAGCTTACACACCCTTCAAATCCCCTACACAAAAAACCCTAGCCCCCATTATACCTAAACTTAGCCGCCAGCTAGCATTAGCCAACACTGGCCTCATTCTTCCTAACACAATAGTCAAGCCTCCCTATTCCTCCTCTAGGAGGCACCAGCTCTTCAACATTATAACAATCTTTATTAACAACAGATTTGATAATGCTAGTAATTAATACTTAAAAGTGTATTTTTATCTGGTGTATATATCCTCATTTTGCAATTAAATTATCAATAACTCCTTAACTAAAGCATGTTTTATAATAACAAGTCTGATACTATAATATACCTTTAATTTATGATAAATATTTATTTTAAATACAGGTCTATCATATAAATCAAAAGATTGATTGATAAAAAGCTATAGATCTTATATTTCAATTTGGTTTATATGACTAGAAAGTTAAGAAATAGGCCTAAAACATTTATGGGAATGTAAGACTCAATTTTGCTGTTTGGAAGTCTAAATTTTAGTAATAACGGAGAAGTCAGAATTTGTCCTGCAACCCAGACACTATTCAGTGTTCAGTCCATATTTCAAGTTCCAGAAGTCTAAATACACCTAATGTTTTTTGTTGGAAAATTGAGACAATTTTCTAGAACTTTTATGAGAACAATCTGTTCAAATTCTAACGTTATTAATGATGTTTAATTCAAATAAGAAGATAAGGATTATCACCAAGTCAAGATGTGGCCACCCACTCAATAATTAGTCATCAAATCAATAGTTCTAAATTTTATCCTATAAAAAGAGGCACTTGCTATGCATTTAGGTATTTTGGTTTTTAGATCAAGATCATGTTCTTGCTTTCTCTCTTTT